TACGGCTGGTCTTGCGATGGTACGCCCATGATGGCATGACCTATGTTGCGGAATACGCTAGGATGACACTTGGCCCCGCTGTACTGTGGTAGAGCAGCAACAGCCATACGGTCGGTGAGGGACGAGCCGGTCCCTAGGAGGTAGCGAGGTCGGCTGGGAGGGCCAGACATGCTTTCTTTGCGGAGGACCACCTTGGGGATACTGTACAGGGCGGAGAGGTCCTCAAACGTACTACTGCCGATCTGTTCCCGGACTATAGCGAGTGCCTCAGCAACGGCGGTGTGGAGAGCCGCATCTGAGGGATGGCTAATCTGTGGCACCATGTTGGGAATGTTAACAGTACTTTTGGTGTCGACTCCATCACACGCCGCAAGCAGGGCTGGCAGGGCATCGTCGGTGAGCCACGCCTTCAGAACGTTATCAATGAACGGCTTGGGAAGTCTATTGACGGCACGGAGGGTATCGAGAACGAGTTGCACAGCACAGTGACGATCCTCAGGTCTACTGTGACGAGCCGCATCGCAAACCTGTGGTCATGTGAAGATGGGCGGTACTGAGGCTCCCCTACTTTCGAAAGAGCAATGGACCACAGCTTGTCCGCCTTGTGATTTAGCGGTTGATCCAAGGCGGCCCGGTCGAGTAACGTGGAGAATATCTTTTGAACCTGTGAGGAGCTGAGGGGAGTAGGTGTGACCACTGATGGTTACCTTCCTCTGGATGGCTGTGGAGATGCCTCCCGCCTTGACGAGTTCTGGTACAAGCTGACGAGAGGCTAGTTCTACTGAGCCAATCACGTCAAGCTCGGGCCAGTGGTCGAAGAGACGAGTGACAACCTGAGCTCACTACGGTCTGTCAGGAACGATGGATGGGCTGCCGACCTCGAGGATGCCAACCATGTCCTGCTCACTGCCGCGTGCATGGAGGCGGACACTGGACCTTAGGAGTCGAACGGCTATGGGCACACCGACTTTCTCGTCAATTCGAGTGTGACCGACACCCCTAGGGGCATGCTTAGGAGCGTCCTTCCCTGTCCATAACGCACTGTCGGGGATCCATACACTTGGAGAGCGTGTTGGGGCCTCACGACCATCGGGGGTGGTCAGCATGTTTGAACACAAACAGTGCTGAGCCTGCGAAACTTCATAATGATCGTCTGGAACAACGACAGGCACGAACGAATAATGGTGAGCGGAAGGACAACAGTCCTGTAGTGTAAGTGAAATGTCGCGCAAGGAGGGGTGCACCCTTGAAAGACATATGACACAAGTGAAGTGCGCGCGCCCGTAAACGGTTTTTGAGTGTTGCAAAGCGGAAACCGAAGGTGAAACAAACCTTGAGTTGGACCATACAGGTCTACAACGTGGATTGAGTACGGCTGTGAGGCCGAGCTCAACCACGAGAGTCGAGAGGTTCCTCGACGGGCCAGAATAATTTTTTTTTATTCCCTTGAATATGGCGATGCCTTCATACTGATCCCACCAACATTTGGAGAACCGGACAGGTATGTCCGGTTTCCATCTTAGGTGGGCCCTTCGCGCAGCTACGTGGGGGTCACGAGATCAATTGAAGGCATTGGTAGCACCTGATGTGGTCGGACCGTGTGTGGCCCAAACAGTTTGGGTCATTACGGTGAAAACACCGACGGGCCGACCAATCACGGTGCTACCTCCCGCA